TTATAATTAAATAAGAATTTCTTATATATTCGGTCAAAACGCATCTTAGTGTTTAAATATTTCTATATAAATTTTACATATATGATTCTGCAAACAGGATACTGAAATTTTGGTCTTTGAAACGTTTTATCCCCTACTACATAAAAATTACAACATGATGCAACATTGCAGCAACATTACATGTTGCAACAATATTACAGCGTTATTGCAACGATATTGCTACAAATTCTGTGCTGTATAGGATCCAGGCCGTGTTCGTATATTACTGTCAGTTGTCAGTACAGTGTATAATATATACGTAACGGGAACTGCAGATTTTCATGTTAGAATGTTACCTCGGTGGAAACTAGGCCATGTTCTTATTAGTAATAGTAAAGAAAAAGTATTATATGGAGATAATAAATAAAACATTGAAATGTATAAATATATTTGACTCTATTTTTTACAAATACATATTTTTGAAATTAGATTAGAGATGATGAGTTTTCAATTTAGCAGTTGGCAATACTCAAAGTTAATCGGCGGATAAAATAATTGGCGTTGGTGAAACTGGGCCTTTATGAATGCATCGCCAATACTACTCAATTCAAAATTCTGAATAGGAAATAAATAGTTTTTCAATTTAATTTCTAATTAAATCTAAAATGAATTCAAATTTAATCAATCTATTTTAAAATCCATTCTTGTTTACGAAGCAGAACTAGAATAGTAACATATTTGCACTTCCCAGCAAACGAGAATGGATTAAAATGGATTGAAATTTTTTTCGATCCGAATGCGTATTTAAATAGCGAATATTTTTTTTAGATTTAATTGAATTCAATTGGATTCAATTAGATTCAATTGGATGCAATTGGACTGAAAAACTACATTTCCTATTCAAAATTTTGAATTGAACAGTATTCACAATGCACAGAAAAAGTTAATATTATTTTTAGATTGAAACGCATAGAGATATGCTCCATGCAATTCCTATAAATGAATAAAAATGCATTCAGAATTGAAAAGCATTCATTTTACCATTCGTGAATCAATATTTCTGAAAATCTGGATCCATTTCAATCCATTCTCGTTTGCTGGGTTATTAAATTAACAAATAATTAATTAATGATTGTTGATGCTAATAAGAGCATCTTTATAAATGCTTAAATATTAATAATTAGATGTCAATGATATCTGATAAGAGAATCTTAAATCCTTATCCACATCTTCGTCTTTTTGCGGGAATAATCCTTCCCTATCACATTTTCAGCTTTGGTGGCATCGATCGCACTCCTACCACGGAGAAGGTGTCGACGTAGAGGCGCGACTCTGTGATCGACGACGGCGGTTGTAATCAATCGGACCAATCGCAACGTCCGTTCGCAACGGACGATAATAGAATAGACTAGCAAGGGAAAAACAGGCAAAACGTCGATACGCGGTGCTGCAGCCCCCCTTTACAGCGACTGTATTCCAGCTCCTTTGAGTCTGCCTGTTAGAAAATATTGTTGTTCCTCGAAGACTTTTGCGACAGATTCACGAAGCTATTTCAAAATGGTAATTATGCACTGTACGGATACGAAAATTTGCATAATTCGTTCCACGATCGCGACACTGTCTCGCAATTTCGTTAATTCAATCATCACCCGACGAAAATAATTTTTGAAATGATTTATTTGAGGTATACTCACTCCATACGAACGGATACGTCCTAAAAATCATTTATCTTGCAGGGTAATGAAAGTTCGCTGCCTATGGAACTCTGTTCAAACTGTAAGTTGTCAGGAATACTTTGACTTTTACTGGATCTATTTTAAAGTAACCTGATCTGATTCGTCTGATTATAAAACAAGATAGGCAATGCTATTTTAGAGATATATTGTATTCTCAGTGAAATGAATTACACAAATAATTCATATCATTAGAAATTCAAGCATTGATAATTAAAAATTTATTAACTTGTATGGTTCTTGATATGTTATTATTTTGTTATGTGTAAATATGATTGTAAATGTTTGTTCTTTAGTCGACGTAGATGAGATTAGAAGATTGGGGAAAAGATTTCGAAAGTTAGACTTGGATAATAGCGGAGCACTTAGCATCGATGAGTTTATGTCTCTGCCTGAGTTACAACAAAACCCATTAGTGCAGCGTGTAATTGACATATTTGACGCAGATGGCAATGGAGAAGTAGATTTTAAAGAATTTATTCATGGAGTGTCTCAGTTCAGCGTTAAGGTAGATTTCGTTTTCCTATAGAGATTATATTATATTTTTATACATAATGCTAATTTGCAGGGTGACAAAGAGAGCAAATTACGATTTGCATTTAGAATTTATGATATGGATAATGATGGTTACATAAGCAATGGAGAGCTTTTCCAAGTGCTAAAAATGATGGTAGGCAATAATTTGAAAGATACACAATTGCAGCAAATTGTTGATAAAACAATACTGTTTGCTGACAAAGATGAAGATGGTAGGATTAGCTTTGAAGAATTTTGTTCTGTAAGTAATGCATTTATATCTTATAATGTAATTGAACAGCATATCATAATTTTACTGCTGTTTCAGGTTGTTGGCAATACAGATATTCATAAGAAAATGGTAGTTGATGTTTAAGTGACCAAAGTTTGTGAAAAAACTCTTAATTTCTAAAATGTGGTATGTTAATTGAAATCTATAAATTAATAATCTATTAACAACAGATTTATGGGATAGTTCTAACAGAAATCTGTTTAGAGTGAACTTACACAATTATTGTTCTTAAGCCTTTGATCATTACAAGTCTATCCAAATGAAAAATTTTCATGGTATGCCAGACTAATTTAGTGTGGCACATGAATGTTAGATCTATGTGATACAGTCATTTTGGTGTCGTTAAAGATATCCTGGAACGGCCCAAATTATCTTGAGCGTTCCATTAAAAATAAAGACCAGCAACGTGATCTTAAATAATTAATAACCTTTAACTGACATATTAAGTTTAATGCTGCATGATTTTCAAGATTTTCTTCGAAAACTTGCGGCAAAGTCAGTCTTCTCAAGCGCCTGTCGAAAAGGACTTTCAGACATATAGATGCACTTTGTTCCTTTTAATAATTCTCCGTGGAAAAGCACGAAAGTAAAATCAAATCGCATTATTAATATAATCATCATACCATGAAACCTATCATATTTCCGTCATTGTTCAAAAAGTAATTGTTAATATCTTTGACGTTTTAATATCGTTAAAGATTTCATTCGTCGGCGAGTTCTTAAGAATATTTACTTTTAAACTAATATCTTAATATATTAATATTCACAAGTATTAATATATTAATATTTTGAAAAAAAGTTATAAACATTTAGATAAGCCAACTATTAAAATGTATTTATGTTATATAATAAACAATCATGAATTGTGCATTCGGAATATACAGTGAAGCGGAGTTTTGCGAAGTTACACAAAATATTAATTATATTAACCTATATGAGTCTACTTGGTTAGCTTTTGTGTGTATAAGATATGTGTACAAACTGTATGTTGGCATTGAATTGTCAATTTGGAATTTTCGAATGTACGATTTATTTATTTATTTAGATATTTATTTATTACATATACACGATTAGTCAGAAAGATATTATAATTTATCTTTATCAGATACATTAAGATATTTATAATACAAATAAGTTTATTTTATCATTGTTAATTGTTTCTATACTCTTACATGTTACATGATCTATTATCATATGTCTAATTAAAGTTTAAAATTGTGAAATATATTAAGATTAATCTATTATAAATATGTACGTTCATTTTCTATACGTATACAGAATATGGACGTTCTTAACGATTTAAGTTAAGCATATTTATGTTATTACAGTAATTATATTCTGTACTGTATTCGATGAATTGGTATACTCGTGCAATAAATTGAAGAAATGAAACGAATATAGTTTATTTTTACTTCAATTTATTGCACCGTGTGCACTAATTCAAAGAATTTTTCGATAAAGAACAAGCCTTCTTTTTGTGGGGAAGATTTATAAATTGATCAATTTCTTTTTTATAATTTTTTTTTGGCTTCATTATCCTTGTATTTCAGTTTAATGGGTTAAATTAATAAGAAAATCGATGTCGAAATATAATACTGATACAGCGATTGCGCGACAGAATAATCAGCGTTTTCATTTGAACAAAGTTGAAACGAAATGAGAACGAATTGGACAAAATTCTGGACAAAATAATGTATCCAAATAAATTTACAAATAATAATTGCAAATATACATACATAAAGAAATTCAATTATGGATTTAATATTTAAAAAAATCTTTTGTATTCTACGATTCAACTAATTTTCTGCAACATTTCTTACACATTTCCGTATGGATAGACAATGTACAGATTTTTTTTTAAATAGAAACTTTTCTTTTTTTTTTTAGATATTTTCGTCTTAAAAAAAGCTTACTTTTCGTTAGAAATGTATATTTATTTTAACATGTATTGGAATTATATCAATTTGAAAAAAAAAATAGTTCTTCGAGATGTCGCTTGAAAATTTGCGATGTTCATCAGTTGGTAGCCCTGCTGTTCTCCCTCCTCGTCGCCACTCTCATTGTTGCTGTTTTGTGGCCGGTGTGTTTGCTAGTTTACGTTTTTGGTTGTTTCCCTTGCGCGGAGTATTCCTAAGATTCCTCGGATTTTTACGCGACTTATCTTGTTGACAAACAATCGGGATAATTGAGAGAAAACGTAGACGACTCGTCGGTGGTGGTAGTTGGCGGCGGCGGAGACGATGGAAAATCTGGAGGAAGTGTTGCAGGCACTCGACGAGTTCCAGAAGATGCGACCGTCGGTGATCCCGCAGGAGCTCGAGGATTATCTGTGCTGGGTCGCCAAGACCGGCGATCCAGTATATCAGTGGCCGTTGATCAAGACCCTCGTCCGGGAGAAGCTCACCCGCGTAATGACGGACTTTTACGAAAGCTGCCCCACTCTGGAACTCGCGCCCTGTCCGAACGTCGAGCATTTCAATTACGATATCATGAAGAGCAACCTCCTCGAGAGGTTGGAATCGTTCGCGAACGCGCCTTTCACCGTTCAACGAATATGCGAGCTGCTGACGGCGCCGCGTAAGGAGTACAATCGCGTGGACAAGTTCATGCGGGCCATCGAGAAGAACATCCTGGTGGTATCGACGCGCGAACCCGGACCTATAACCAGACGCGGCGAAACGGGCGACGGTATGGTTAACGGCTCTGTCGAAGAAGACGCGGCCTCCGTTACACAGCAACCACCACCGCCGTCACCGTCGCAGCCCTCCTCACAGCCTTCCTCGCAGACGACCCAGCCGCAACCGGCGCAACCGGTACAACCGACCTCGCAAGACGTGGAAATGGAATACTGGGAGAAGGATTGTAGCTCCACCGTTACAATTAGTGTACACACCGTCGAGAATGAACCACCGCTTATGCACAGCGGTGTCATACCAGCGTCTGATTCTACCCTGACCAAGAATCTATTTGCTGAGGAGACCGTGCGAGAGAAGCTTGAACAAGTTACCTCTAGAACTGATATCTCGGCGACCAATTATATCACCGCAGTCTCAGACTTCTCCACTATATCGAATTTAAATTTACAGCCACATGCACCAGTGCTAGAAGCCATAGCGACTGCTGTTCCTGTGGTACAGAGTCTACCAGCAGTCGGAACAGTCTCTGAAGACTCCATGGTCCCGAGCACCGATATTGCAGTAGCGATTATGAACGAGGATACCAATTCTCAACCTAATTTAGACATGGAGAATGAAGAGATTGAGGCAAACACAGCAACAGCAAGTACCACGACATCTACGACGACGACTGCAACCACGACGACTGCTACGGCAACAACAACGACAACAACAGCAACGTCAACAACATCGGTATCAACGGCGGCGACGACGACGGTGACCGTGGTGGCCACGGTGATACCGTTAACGACGGATACCACGCGGAAGCTGCAAGCTGCTTTCCAAGCGAAACGCTTCGAATCCGGCGATAACAAGTCCGTGGACAAGTCCAATGAGAAAACCACGGATTCGTCGAAGTTAGACAGCGTGGAGGAAGAGATTGGGCAGCCCTTGAAAGATGAAGAAACGACCAAATCGAGTCCCGAGCGTATAGATCCCAATGAAATGCCACGTGATGAAAGTAGATTAACTGATGATGAAAGTTTATTACAGACCGATGTCGAGATGAAATCTGACGCTTTAACGGATGATACTGAAAGTGTTGAAGAAAGAGCTCGCGATAAACCGAAGGAAGAGGAATCGTCAATCCTCGAGGACTTGGATGAGGAAAACTTGCGTTCCACGAGCAGCCAGAATACAAATACGACGGCACTCGTCAAATCGCAGTCCATGGAAAAAGATAGCACTGTCCCATCCAATGAGTGTGTGAGCGCAGTCATCGTGTCTAATACCGAAGCGTTATACAAAACAGAAAAATCCGAGATACACTCTAAAGAAGAGTCGGAAACAATTTCTTCCACAGAGTGTTTCGCACGTGATCAATCTATTAGCCAAAAAACAGAGAGTGTAGAAGAGATGGATAAAGTCCTAGAAGCTATTCCTACAACAGCATCTTCCAGCAGCAACACTAATCGACAAGAAGAACAAGAGTCCGACAACAACGATAATTTAAATATTATGGAAATTTCCAACGACAAGATGGTTCTTGTCGAGTCTATGACAGAGTCGGATCCAATAAGTAGTGTAGAAAAATCTAAAGAAGCAACATCTATAATTGAAAAACTCGATCCTGTCTCACCTACTGTCGAAACAATAGAAAGCTCCGATAATGTCAGTTGTCGATCTCCAAAGGATGACAAGTTAATAGACGATCAAGATGACAATTTAGCAAATTCACAAGGCAATAAAGCAACGGCAGGCATCACGATAAAAGGGAATCAATCTTCTGTAATAGAGAGTATAGCGTGTAGAAAGGAATCGGAGGAATTAATGGAAGTCGACGACGAAGAATCATTATCGACGTTTCAACAGGATGAACCTATGGAGCAGGAAGCAATGGAGGAGCTGCCGAAAAGTTAATCTTGACTTATCTAATTGGCATGTTTCTCTTTCCTTTTGTTTAATTTTTGATATCTATTCCTAAGATAGATATCGGAATATGAATCAATTCGTAAATATCTTTGCACATGAACAAGATGTTTACGAAGTGCACTTTTGTGAACTGACTTTTTATAAATTAAATTTTTTAATAAAAAAGATGATAGTATTTCGTTTGTAGTAACAATAATTTCTTTTGTAGTTCTGTATATTAAAAAATATAAAACTTTTTTAAATCACTCGCTCTCTTGACTTTAAGGTAAAAAAAAATTATTGATGTATCTTGATTCAGAATCGTTTGTAGTGATTTTCCGGTCGTTTGTAGTTGCACCGTTTAAAAGTTACAACATGTTACAGCATATTAACGATAAACAAAAAAAGTAATTTTGTCAATTCTTAAGATATCTCAAATCTGGTCACGGGATATTTTTTACAATTGTTGTGGTTGTTTGTAATGATTTTCCAGTCGTTTGTAGTTGAGCCGTTCAAAAAGTTACAACAAATTTGTAAATTTACGTATACTATACATAATTTGTTTATTATAAATTTGTTGTAATTGTAAAAAACGGCTGAATTATAAACGACTGAAAAATCACTACAAACGATATTAAGGAAAATGCCGCAAACAGACTAGATAACTCAAAAATTGGCAAAGTTATGTAATTTATTTATTGCAAATTTGTTGTAACTTTTAAATAGTGCAATTATGAATGACTGGAAAATTATTACGAACAACTACAAACGTTTCTGAATTGAGATATATTAACAATTTTTTTTACCTTAAAGTCGAGTGAGTCATTTGTTTTTAATTTTAATATTTTTTAGTATATGGAACTACAAGCAAAATTATTGTTACTACAAACAACTACAAACGAAATATTATCATTTTTTAATTGAAAAATTTAATTTATAAAAAGTCGAATGCCAGTTCTCACAAAGATGAGACATGCTTGTGAACGCGATATATAAATATATATAATTTTCATAATCGGTAATTATTATGAGAATCGTGAGATTTAAATTGTGAGCAAACGTTAGGTAATGCTCAATGAAAATTCTTTATCATCTTAACTTAAATATTAATTGCTGCTTTATTTATTTCGGATTTATCATTAGACTAAATAAGCTCCGATATTTACTTATAAAGAGATTTATCGAAATGAATTTTCTATAACTCTTTGAGGGAAAAAGAACACTGCCTACTCCTAAAAAGATTGTAATACTGTAAAACCGCTTGTATAGAAGTCAAATTTGGTAAACATTTCAATACAGATTTATACAAATACCACGGATATCTGCTTAGAATAAGGTTGTGCCTATAACTATTGTGTACATTGCATATTGGACAAGTATACCTAATGAATAAATTTTTAAATAATGATGTATGAGTACGGTATATATTCGCGTAACATTTTCACAATCGAGGTGAAACAGTTTCATTCGTAATCACAGCCTTATACTAAGTTCTGATTAAATCTGAAGACATATATGCCAAAGGAACCAATTAATTCCGAGAATACGTTCGAGATCAATCATAGATATGTTCCTTACGAAACTTTTTACATTATATAGCAGCATTTGAAGACACGAAAACACTTATTTTGAGCTGTTTATTAAAACTGCTTAAAACTAATTCGAGATCAATTATATTTTGAATGTATCGTTTATAATTAGTTTTTATTATCATTATAGTAGGCAAGTAATTCCTTTTTTTTACAACTGCTTGCTATATATAAAAGAGAAAAAGACTCTCTAGTAAAGCAAGCTATGTTCTGTGAGCTTATGGCTAGCTCTTTGTGATCAGACATTAGCATGCTGGTTCCTTCAGTTTCCTATATTTTGACAAAAAATGTTCAAATTCAATCTATATGGTTATATATACAGTAAATCTGAATGAAAAAAATCTTAAAGCGGCCCATTGCAAACCAATAAAATTGACCTTATTAAAATCGAGCTACAAATTAGGACCCATTAGCATTATGTCGAATCGCTTACAGTTATATGTATTTGCACAAAATGTTCTCAAGCGGATTCGATACGGTTCTACTGAAACGTTATTAGAATATTGTAGGAATGGGATATTAATTTAAGAATTAATATAGATTAATAACACATAATATACGAATGTGGATATCTAAAAAAATAGCTGTATATTATTTTATAAAAAAAATATATAAAAATGAGAGATTGTCAATTTTCTATCTTTTATTCGTAGTTGTATATGTACCTGACCTTATTAAAAGAAAAATATTTTAAAAGAAGTAGGAAATAACACAAGTATGAACGATCGAAGGGTATTGTATTCTCGCCACAATGTAATAATTATACCTCGCTGTGTCCGTGCAACTATTTTCGCGAATGATATGTTACATCTTTCTATAACATTCAGCAATAAACATATAGCACTAGATAATATTTCATTCTTCTATTTTTTATTTCAATTAGATAACACATTCCTATCAATAAATGTGCCAATAATGTGCGGAACTTTTTACATAATTTTGGATATTTAAAAGATAATAAATATACACATGTAATATATATATACATATAATACATTAACCATAAAACCAGTGTTATAATGAAACAGTAAATTATTGTTTAACGATTTGTTCTGTACATCTATGTGAATGTTTGATGTTTCACTAATTTTTTGAAAAGGCCATGCTCCAGATTCATTAATTCAACGTAAGTGCCGGTTTCCGCCACTTGTCCTCCATCAAGTACTACGATTTTATCAGCGTTCTTTATTGTACTAAGTCTGTGGGCAATTGTTATCACTGTCCTTCCACGGATTGCACGTTCTACAGCTTCTTGAACGAAATATTCACTTTCTGCATCTAAGGCACTGGTCGCTTCGTCCAGTATCAAAATTTTTGGTTTCTAGAAACAAAAAAATAACGTATTATATGTATATATATATATATATATATAAAAAATTTTAATAATCACGAACGTATTTAAATAACGATTTACCTTTATTAATGCTCTGGCAATGGCAACTCTTTGACGTTGTCCGCCACTAAGGGCAATACCCCTTTCCCCGACTATTGTGTCTAATCCATCAGTCATTTTTTCTGCAAACTGCAATACATGCGCCTGTCTTGCAGCCTCTTCTACATCAGAATCTGTCGCAGATTCCATTCCGTACAATATATTATCCTTTATTGAGCAACTGAAAAGAATTGGCTCCTGAGATACAATGCTAATCCGAGATTTCAACCACGTGGGATCAAGCAGACGAAGATTGTGGTTATCCAAAAGTATCGACCCTTTTGTAGGGTCGTACAATCTTAGTAAAAGTGACGCGACGGTAGATTTACCGGAACCCGAGGAACCAACAATAGCCGTCATAGAACATTTCTCTATGTTTAAATTAAAACCTTTCAACACGGGCATCTTTTCTCGCGTTGGATATGCAAAAAAAACATTTTGAAACGTCACATTGCCTGATAATTCTTTTTTTAAAATTTGCCCGCCTTGAATGGGAATAAGCGGTTGTCGATCGATTAACTCAAACAGACGAGCATTAGCACCTAAAGCCTTATTTAACTCGCTATATGCCTTAGATAATCCATTGAGAGAGATGCCCACGTAGCCGGCATATAATAAAAAGGCGCTTAAGCTTCCAATTGATATATCGGCATTTGATACCATAAATATTCCATTGTAAAGAACTGAAAGGGCAATAACGTTTCCAGAGAGACCGGTCATACCGAAAAATATTCCTCTATGTAAACTCTCCTTGTAACATAGTTTTAGAACGTCTTGTAATTTAGCGCTATATCTGTCAATCTCGCGTTTTTCTTGCGCGAACGCCTTGACAGTTCTTATATTGCTGATTCTTTCCTCCGCAATTGCATTGGCCACTGCAATATTGCTTTGGAGATCCTTGGACACTTTTTTTAAAATACGTCCCCAAATAACAGCAATAACTGTGGCAGGTGGTACTATAGCCAAACCGAGTAAAGCTAATGATGGTGATACGTAAAACATCATGGACACTCCTGTTATAGCCATAATAGCGGAGCGTAAACCATCTGATACATTGGACGTCACGGCGGAGCTAATAAGTTGTGTATCCCCTGAAGAAAATATATAATAAAATCACACAAAAAAGATTTTAATACATAGTATTCAATCATTCACATTACTACACTTGATTAGTATATTAAAAACTGTTATATATAACAAATTCAATCACTTGCATTAGATTAATGCATACTAAAAGCTGCTGCAATGAAATTAATAAATTAAATGTAAAAATATATAAATATATACGTCTTATTTCATTGTCAAAAATAATTATATTATACTACTGTATGTAGATACTTTATATAAAACAGCCGTTTTAATATGCACTAGTCCAATGTACTGCAAGTGACTGAATTCATCAACAGAAAATATCAAAAGTAGTAATGTAATGTAATCAATTTTGACAATGAAATAATACATCTTGTTAAATAGTACATTGTTAAATAATATAATAGTATATTTAATCATTTAAAATATTTATGTATGCTTTAACTTTGCTAATTTCATGTATGACTGTTTTTAGTATGTACTAAATCTAGCGATGCAAGAAATCAAATTTGTTATTAAGAGTATATATATATATATATATA